CCTCAAAGAGTTGTATCGTCATAGCTCAGGTCGGGTTAGGGCCTATGGCCAGCTTTCGCCACCCTTTGCCGTCTCCAGTGGAGTTCGACAAGGCTGACCCATATTCCCATTCCTTTTCAACTGTCATAGAGGATGTTCTGCAGAACGCTTTGTGCGGTCTAGCAAACGGTGGGGTCGAACTCCTCCCAGGGAACAGAGTCCTTGACTTAGAATATGCCGATCACATCACCTTGATTGGTGCCAACACACAGGCAGTGCAAAACGCCTTGAAGCTCTTGGCGATAGACGTATCCAGTGATGGTATGTGCTTTGCATCATCAAAGTGCAAAGTGCTGGTACAAGACCGGCAGGAGCCTGTGTCTGCACTCACCATCTGTGGTGATCAGTTAGAAGTAGTCGAGAGATTTGAGTACCTCGGGAGCTTGATCGTAGCTTGTGGTGATGTTGAGATAACATCACGAATAGCGAAAGCTAGAGCAGCTTTCGCCAACCTGCGACACCTATGGCGCCGCCATGACATCCGACTGTCCCTTAAGGGAGGGGTGTACATAGCCGCGGTTTGTAGCGTTCTCATTTACGGTTGCGAGACCCGGCCCCTCCGCGTTGAAGATCCACTGCATTGGTGTGAACATAGTGTTCACACCAATTCATAAGCGGAGGGCACTAGAAAAATTTGACATTTTTGTAAGCCCTGATCTACTGTTAGTGTTTTTGTACTTGTATAACTTGTGTAAGCATAAATGCTTACATTTCTGTTAAAAAAGTACACTGTTCGTCACGCAGAATAAAATAAAAATAATAAAAACGAAAGGTAAAGAATATCGGTGACATACGCTTCATGTACAAAACATTTGAAGTAGTTCATTTGATACCTGTTGCTTTTTGGTAAGTAGTCGGGCCAGGTGGGGTACAGGGGAATTTTTATAAATGTCAATACGAGAGGGTAGCTGTGGAAATGAGGAGCGTGTGGACGGATGGGAACGACAAGAAGATAGATCAGGGTGTAGTGGATGAAGAGGGTCATCTAGAATCGTGTGAGCAAATTTAAAAGAGATGATGTGACCATCAATGAGTTCTGTGATTAATAAATCAATTCGGATTAGTGATGCACGACTGGTTATCACCAAACCACGGTGAATTGTTTTGAAGTCGTGTTTTAAAAGATCGGAAAACACTACAGGGGAGCAATAAAGTAGAATGGGTAAAACGCATTGATGAACGAAAGATGACAGGACTGATTGTGGGGTTCGGAATTGCTTCAGTTTGCGTAACTGAAAACATAGGCTTCTCAGTTTTCCCACACCCACCAACGAAGATTGCTGTCGATGGTGAAATCCAGGTACTTCACTGAGGTCACTCTAGATACAGGTTTATCGTTAAGGGTAGCAGAGTCCGTTGGAAATGAGGAGCGGGAAAGACTGAAAATACACTCTACGCACTTATATATGTTAAGACTGAGACCAGATTGGTCCGAAAACTGTTGGATGTGGGATAGGTTTTCAGTAAAAAAATGAAATTCCGAAGGAGATGAAATTGTCTGAGACAAAACAACGTCATCAGCATACTTTTGGATGTGCGCAGGGGGTGGGACAGAACGATCATTAATAAAGGCAGAATAAAGATATGGAGATAGAACAGTACCTTAAAGAACACCAGAATTGTTAAGAAGAGGTTTTGATGAACTGCTTCCTAATTTGGTGCACTGGACCCTCTGTGTGAACTAGTCGCAAGCCATGAGAGCAGTTGTTTTGGAGTACCAAAAGATTCAAGTTTGAAAAGAAGATATGATCGGGAAACGGAATCAAACGCAGACGAATAGTCAGAAAAAACAACGGACAGACTTGACCGAATGGTTCAATGATTTGCAGAAAAAATGCACCAGAGTGGATACGGCGTCCAATGTAGATCTGTTTGGTTCATATGCAAACTGAAGGGGGTCGTGGGGAATTGTGGTGTCTGACCGCAACCGACTCAGGATGGCTTTTCCAGTTACCTTTAGAGCTGCTGCGGTCAACGCGATAGGACGAAACCGTTCCACAAGAACAGTTGAGGACGTGGATTTGGGGATCAAAATAATGGTCACTGGACGCCAACAATGAGGAGTCGATCGGGAAGATAGGGACTCATTGAAAACGGATGTCATCATATTGGTTAGGGAAGCTGCTCCGAATTTCAGAAGTGCCGGAGGGAGACCATCAGGGCCTGCAGCTGCGGATGATTTGTAGGATCGAAGAAGCTTAAAGATTAAATCTTTGGAAAAAGGCACTGAACTGGAATCATTGCATAGGAATGAGGGAATCTGGTTCTCATTTGACGGGTGAATGAAAGCGGCATTGAGGCTGTTGACATCCACAGAAGTATTAAAATATTTTCTGTTCTGCCCACAGAGAAGGCGAATACCTTGCCATAAGAACCTGGTGTTCTTTGTTGGCAGAATTTAGGAGGTAAAGATTGCATTTAGGTACGTTATCACGGACCTGATTAAATCAGAATAGTGCTCAACAACTGATGCATGACGAGCTTTGTGGGCCATTTCTTGGTACCTTCTTAGTGATTTCAAATAGGGTGAAGAAATTCTACCGTTACAGAGAAACAGGGTTTTCATTGGACAACACAAGGCGAAGATCGATTTAATCGTATCATTGAAGAAATTGACAGATTTAAAAAACGAAGAACAAGAACCAAACCAAGACTTAACAGTCACAATAGAACGGTTGAGAAGAGAGAAACGGTTGGGTGAAAAGTCCCTTAGATTAAATTTTATCTGAGTAGAACGTAAGAATGCTTGATAAGCCATGCAAGAGTATACCTTTGGTCTAAAAAGAAGAATACTGCGGTCACTGTTAGAAACCGGGGCCATTAGTTTGGGAGAGAATAATTTGGGATGGTTTGTGATCACTCTGTCCAGCACAGAACTACCTCTGGTAGGAAAATGAGAAAGGTCAGACAACCAAACCAAACAGAAGCAAGGAGGAAATGCTTGCATGATTGAAATTTCCAACGAGCAAGTGAAGAGTATCATCTAATAATGGAACTAGAAATGGAATATAGGAATCAAAGAAAGCAGAAATGTCGGTCCGATTACACGAGGAAGATACATACACATTGATGCTGATTGTACTTTTGTGACGAGAAAATTTAGGGTGACAACGAACAGACAAACAGTCAATGCACTTTTCAGAAGTTATGTGTAACTTCTGACTTGCCACACCAGGAAACATTGATGTAATTAGCCACACAGCCTCCGGTATTTTTCCTACTTCGCTGTCTATCCTGTCGGTAGCAATCAAACTCTTCTATTCGCACGAGAACGTCCTCGATGTTTTGATTTAGCCATGTTTCTTGCACACAAACAACAGATGTGTTGGAATTAATGCGTGTGTTCAGAATAGAGGTTAAATCCGAGATCTTTGCGAATAGAGCGAACGTTGGTGTTGACCAATAATCTCTTCGGACAAATGGTTGAAACTAAAAGTAACTTGGCAGCCCGCGTGCCTGCATTTTTCTGTCTGAGCTGAACAATGAGTCGCAAAAACCGATAAATGATCACAAGAGGCTCTGGTCGGTTAGATATGAATTATATGACCCCGTGAGTGACGAGGACGCATGATATTGATTGAAGACTTTCAAATTTTAAATTCTCCGAAAACCGTGTAAATTTCGCTCTGTCTCGTTATACTTCAGTAACTTCTGCAGAATCTTGCCAGGTTCGCTAACCCGGAGCACTTATTTTCACTGGACATAAATTATTCACATGTTCTCCGTTCAGTATATACAACCGTCACCGTTCAACTTCGTGTTTTGTTTTGAGTTCTTGCCTTCCACTATCGTTCTGCATTTGCCTGGAGTATCTATAAACCATTGGAAATAAAGAACACTCCACAGAATACTCCAGTTACTGTAGTGTTATGGTCTTCTTATTCCTCGCTTATTACAGATCCGACTTGAGCATTCCAAGCAACTTAGCGAATGGCGCAGCCGAGCAGAACTTGCACGTAAACAAATCAAACAATTGGAAATCGACCTGGGCGAAACCAAAGGAATGTTGACTAAGGAGGTTGAGATGCGAAGACAACAGCTAAGTGAAATTGGTCAGGCACGGGAATTTGAGCGCCGGGAATGGAAACGACAGAACGATGAACAAATGAAACGCATTGCTCAAGAACAAGAAGTACAAATAAGGGAGTTGCGTACGCAATTTGTGGATGATGTTCAAACGACGGTTAGTACGAACAATTCCGTTACAGTATTTTCCTGGAACACACTACTCTGTCTTCCAGAGAACTATTTGCTCCGATTTGGATGTTTTTTTGGGTCAGGTGTTAGGAATGATATTTAGGATGTCTTGCTAGATGAATACGAGATGCCTATGGTTTTTGGCTTAAATCTCCCAATGGTCCTGCTGATGGCAAAAGCTATCACAAAGAGATTATGTAAAAGTATGAAATACGGCCAATTAGACTGAATTAAGGAATTTTTCTATCAGTCAAAAAACTAGCATGTTCTTTTTCCCTATTTTTACCACAGTGTGAATTAATCTCACAGATGTCATATCCGTAGGAAGTTGCTTGACTCCACGGCCGAAAGTGTGACCATCATTTTTCTTGATGTTACTCCTAAACTATGCATTGGATATAATCGCCAATTCTTTATAAATCATGAAATATATCATTCATAGTTTTTGATGGCGGCCAAGAATATCGGAGGCCACAGCACAGTGATTGAGCACCTTAAAGGGACAACTAAACGACACATGAAAAAATATGAAATTTCTTTGATAAAGTTCAGTTTAGTTTTATAACTAATGATCCTTTACAAAATTTTGGTTCTTAGCCATTGTTTCTCAATGAAATAAGTACATCAGAATGCTAATGACAGCTGTCTCCACAATTGTAACTTCAAAACGGTAAAATTCACCATACGATTCACCGAGCACCTACTGTTTTGTTTAACGAGTTTTTTTGATACGCCATTTGATCTTCGGTACTTCGCTCAAATATACGTACCCCGAGGTCAATAGCAATATCAGAGATAGTCGGAATGTCTCTGATTCTTGTCTATAGTAGTTCTGTAGTGATAAAACTATACGTTGACATACGGCATGATAAACATTACGGTTGAAACCGAAAGGAGACGTACATTCGAAATAATTTGACCAGCAGTACCAGCGCATGGTGGTCAGAAAAAAACCGTAAGCAAATCAAGAAGGCCGGCCGCTAAGACAAAGACAGATTGGAGTCAACCAATATGAAAGGAGGAAATAGGGAAAATTATCCGAATGGAGTTTGACTATAGTCAACAGTCAATAGTAGCAATGGAACAATTAAACATGCACATAATGTCAAAATTTTGATTGTGATGTTCTCGATTATTGAGTACTTTCTTGATAAAAGCTTGTTCGTTTACAAAATGGCAATCCTGGTTGGATCTCGTCAGCATTTGCGAATCCATCGATCCAACTGCGGATCGAACCTGGGACCTCTCAGGTAGAACGCAAGAATACTACCCACCTGGCCACCGGGAAGCTGATCAGACCGTTTCTTATTTGGAATATGCACGATATAGCACAATCTATCTTTGTGAGCTTGCTGCGAGTATCGATCCTCGCTCATCTCAGCACTAGCCTCAAGCGCTTTGACTCGGCTGGAATATTTCACAACCCAACTATTTGTTGTATGAGAGTATTGGAGGATTTGACTTGTTTATATGATGAATTTGCTCTTGTAAATGAGGCGTGAGCCGAAAAGCTGGGAAGCACGGGACAGCTGTTTCGACTTGGTTGGTTCTCATCAGCAGTGCGATATGTATACGCAAAATGAGAAACGGTCTGAGCAGCTACCCGGTGGCCGAGTGGATAGAATGATCGCCTTCTACCTGTGATGTCCCAGGTTCGATCGGCAGTTGGGTCGACGGATTCGAATTGCCGATGAAACCCAACCAGGTCGAAACAGCTGTCTAGTGCTTCTCAGCTTTTCAGTTCACACCTCGTTTGCAAGAAGAAATCAACTTATAAAATGGTAATCGCAAGTAGATAAGATGGATTTTTTTGAATGTCAACACTCATGCATTTTCACAAAAAAAGGTATTGACATTTCAATTTAACATGTTCTTGGTCTAACCTATGCGCATTTACATCCAGACATCCATGGATTGATTCTATTCTATGAGCCCCACTATTTAGAAGTTTTGAATCTTCCAATGATTTTATTAATTTTGGTAATCAATAAAATTGTGTATCTCATTACGTGCACATCTAACAAAATTTTTAGTTAGCCAATTTTAAAAGCCAGGCTTGAAATAGTTCGTTTTTTCTCCACTAGACAAACAAGAAACTATATGAAATCGAGAATGAATACAAAAATCAAATTATGGAACTTTCCGAGGTGAGAAATTAATTCCGGTTTTTCAATAAGGTTGTTTAAAACCTTCAACTCGAAAATTTGAAAAAAATGGATATCAAATAAAATGTTTCATTGGATAAATGTTCTATGGAAATTCACTTGTTTTTGTCTGTTTGTCTAGAGTTCATTAAAATAATAATAACAATACAGTCCGCATAGTATGCAACAGATGAATTTTATTTAACGTGGTACTTCGAAGTAAAATTCATATCATCATAGCGGAAAATTTACATGAAAAATGTATTTATATATATTTGCTATTTGCTTCAGCACTCTTGCGTTATCAGTACAGAACACGAGGAATCTACGACTTCATTTCACATCGTTTGCTTATATGGTTGGTTCTCATGCACATAGGCACTCCAGTTTCACACAAGTAAAATAATCATGCCGTATGTACACACTGATTGACATTTGATGGTTACATAAACCAGTACATATTAACCGAAAAGTACGGTGTTACACCGAAAAAGAACAATACACTACCCGGGTCAGAAGTGATCAGTTTTTTTATGAATAAAGTGAAGGATTTCAAGGTATTTTTAGCAATTTGTATAACGCTGGGGTATAGCATGCTTCTCAAAATACTTACGAGATATGCGGCTTTATTTGGGAAGGAACTTCAGGGATCTATGCTCGAGTCCCGGACTGTCACTGTTGGTTTACAGAACGGTCAACCATGCGCCCTCATGTCTTTTGGTAACCAATTTGAATGAATGAGTAGAGGTAAGACTGGATGGAATTCCGGAAGCAGTGTCAAATTGAAAATACGGAAATCACGTAGACATTTATCGCAAGATATTAATATTTCGTTTACTCTCCGCAATACTTGGTGTAAAACAAACGCCTGAGCTAGCGGATTCTTATGTGTATTGCCACTCCAAGTTGCCGGTTACCATCAATGAACAGCAGGTCTTCGTGACTATGGGGTTCCACCCTGTCTGCTGTCCATCACACACCGGTGTGTAATAAAGAAAAACAGGCACGAACATAACACTGCGCCGAAAAGCCGTCGTTGAACGAACTCTTGTCCTGTTTTCCAGGGGCTATTTACCTTCTGAACACTTGGCTCGGAGTTAACCTCTTGTTTTCAAGTTTATTAGACCCTGTGCGTCTGCACACTTCTGTTCACAAGGATTTACTAAACTTGTGCTTTATGTGAGCCTGTTTGTTGCACGTCAGCAACGTTTTAAGTATTTTTTCTTCCATTTATTGGATATCAAACTATACAATTTTCAGGAAAAGGGGAAGTGTCTAATCAGACGGCTGCCATACGACAAAATAAAGAGAGCGAGACGGTGGTGATAGAATTCGAGCACATGTCCTTCGGGGTGATAATTGGGTGACATATACCACTCGGCAACCACCGCCGATTGAACGAAATTTTCACATCTCGCAGCCTGTGTATTCTTTCGGTCCTGATGCAGCGGATGAAGGGGACCCGGTGTTTAAAAACATGGCAGACTGAAGTTGTGAAGGAATTCAGTATATGCACGAGTGCCACTGTTCACGACAGTGTCTCCAAGTATCGGTGTGGGCTACCGAAGTATGTCTTGCTTTAATGTCTCAGGTACCCAACTGGAAGTCCCTCTTCATCTGTTTGCTTTTTCCTCTCAACTCCAAGGCGTACAAAACACGTTCTGTTTCTGCAATTCATGCTTTAACTGGTAAGGTATACCAATCAGACGGTATTGGATAGATAAACATACAGATAGTGAAAACAAAGAAAACGTCCCATGAAATCACTACTACAAAATTTGGACTGATTATTTGGGGGTAGGGTAAGGAAACTGGACTATTTTGATCCAATTTTCGTAATAATAGTTGTTTTGCGGGTATTCTTACCGCACGTCATAGATACTTGAAGGTGCCATTCACTTTCAATCTATTCATAGGTTCAGGTGACCATAGAACGGTTGAATGGTTTGAACTCCACTATTAAGTTATGGTTTACTTGATTACTTTGGTGAGTATTAAGGACTTATGAAGTTAGTTCTGTATTCTCCTTGAATAACCTTATAATGCGTCCATTCCAGAGATCATCCAAATGCGCTGTAGTTTCTTCATTATATTCTTCAGTTCCATTTTTATTTCGAAGTGAGTAGTCACCTAGGTTGGGCTTCGACAGTGGTGAACTAAATATCAATAAGTTTTCCATAAATGCACATTAGTCTCATTGTTATTGTGATCCTTGGACACGTGAAAACGGTACCATACAAAATATAACCGGTCAATCATATCACACGAGTGAGACAGTAGAATGGGACCAAGTAATCCGCTGCACGAACGAGCTGATACAATCCGTAATACCACCTAATCACTTTCACTCTCTCTTTTTCTGCTCAGCAGATCTGTTGCCTTATCAGATAAAGTCACCCGTTCACGCTCAACCACGTGCTGTTATCTCTGTGGAGCCTCTGATACGAGTTAAACATTGATCTTAGAACCGGTACGAACAGAAGATAAACATAATATTATTGGAGAGGTTCGAATTAGGGCACCACTTTGACCAATTCAGAAAAACTAGATAAAGACCGTATAAATTCAGACCCGTTATTACTAAAGTCATGATCATACGCTGAACGTTGTTCAGCTGATAAGGCCACCACCCGACTTTGGTGGTAGGCAGCTCTCATCATCATCATCATCATTGTACAGCGTAATACAGTGAAGCCAACTTCACTGATCGCTGACAAACTCATATTGCATACAAGGTAAGTGATAATGTGTAAGGAGGACAGGGATTGGACTTGTTCTTGGGGACGGGAAAAGAAAGTGAACCTCTGTGGTCAACACAGAGAGTACACAGTTCAGCTGTGCATAGATACTATTTCAAGCATTCTGGTTTGATAAGAAGTGACAGCATGATCACCATTGCTGTCGGTTCGCAGCCATGATCTTCAATGTCTTCAACCATGCGGTTTCGGAGTCTTTTGGA